CATGGCATAAGTTCTGTATCAGAAACTAGAGCTGATGTGGTCTATCCAAAGCATTTTTCTGAATCAGCACCCCAAATTGAATCTAAAATTGACCAAAAACTGATTTGTAAGCCTTTTGGTACTAATGTTGGAGAGTGTTCCCTGTTCAACTAGACCCTGGTCAAAAAAGGTTGGGAACCACTGATACACACACACCCTTTATTATTCATATTTCTGTATATGTATAGTGTATAATATGCTTCATAGAATATAGACAGGTAAGAGTAAACTCTAACATTTCTTGGGGCTTCACGAGAAACTTTTGCTTCAAAAAGGGCTCCATGGCTGAATTTGCCACAAATTCTCAGACTTACATTCTGTGTCAAAATTGCATTCTGTGTCAAATCTCATTTAGGTCAATCACGTGTGCTTAAATTAAATTTTAAAAAATCAGATTGTTCTCATACCTGGCAGGCTTGCTGCCCTGCTCATGATGCCTCATTGTGCCACAATTTGAGAGAACATCTCTTGTATTTTTTAATTAATAGAATTAGTAGATGAACAAATCTTTCTGAAACTTTCGATGCACTGCAATGCTTATGTTGTCTCACTGTGCAGAAATCTAATGGGATGCCTCTTAGAGTTTTATTTTTTGAAAAAAAATGGTAAAATCTTAAATTTCCTAAAAATCAGAGGATGACCGAAATGTTCTGAAACTTGGAGCCATCCCAATCTCTGAAATGAATTACTAACCAGATTTCAGACACTTTGCACAACTTTATTGTTTAGCTTGGAGAAAAGAAGGTGGAGGGAGGACATGATAGCAATGTTTAAGTATTTGAAAGCAAGCCCCCCCCCCCCCCCCCCGCTGCTCTGGAGACTAGGAACATGTGGATTTTATTCAGAGGGCCCTTCCACACAGTCCTATATCACAGAACATCAATTTATTTTATTATTATTTTGGACATTTGTACCCTGCCCTTCTCACCCCCGCAGGGGGACTCAAGGCAGCTTACAGCCAGCAACAATTCAATGCCCTCTCACATACAAGATAATAAATACAGTAAAACCATTTAAAATAATACTGTCTGTCTAGCCTTATCTAAAATAGAATTCTATGAGCAACAACGCTATCAGAAGCCTGTCCATAGTCCATTTTCCATAGCATTATCATCGTTATTGTCTTTATCAGCTTGCTACTTGAAAGCCTGGTCCCACAACCACGTTTTCAATTTCTTCCTGAAGGAGAGGAGGGAAGTAGCCAAGCTGATTTTGCTGTGAAGCGAGTTCCACAGGTGGGGGGCCACCACCGAGAAGGCCCGCCAAGCGTGTTTATGCCAGAAGCAGGGTCGAGAGCAGGGTCTCCCCAGAAGACCTTCAACTTCTGGGGAGGTGGGACATATCCAGGCAGGGAATCCCACATTATCTGAGTGTGGACTCAGATAACCCAGGGCCCTTCCACACAGCCCTATATCCCAGAATATCAAGGCACAAAATCCTACAATATCTGCTTTGAACTGGGTTATCTGAGTCCACATTGCAATATACTTTTGTTTGGTTTTATACTATGTATTAATGTTTTAAATGTTTTCTGATGTTCTTGGGCATTGAATCATTGCCTTTATAAACTGCCCTGAGTTGCCTGATGGCTGAGAAGGGCGATATACAAATATAGTAAATCTTTATAAATAAAAATGTAATGTTCATTTGCGAGAGTGACATAACTCAAAAACCACTGGATGAATTGACACCAAATTTGGACACAACACACCGATCAGGATAACAAGTGACTATCACTCATAAAAACACTGAAAAACACAGCAGAAAATACTAAAAAATCCAAAAAACAAAAAAATACATTACAACGTATGTGCAAAATATATACACCAATATATAGACCAGGGGCCCTCAAATGAAGGCCTGAGGGCCAGATACAGCCCTCCAAGAGTAAATGCCCTGGCCCTCACTCAGGGTCAACCTAAGTCTGAAATGACTTGAAAGCACACATTAACAATCCTATCTCATCAGCCAAAAGCAGGCCCAAACTTCCCATTGAAATACTAATAAGTTTATATTTGTTTAAATTGTTCTTCATTTTAATTATTGTATTGTTTTTAAGTGTTTTTTGCACTACAAATAAGATATGTGCAGTGTGCATAGGAATTCATTCATTTTTTTCAAATTATAATCCGGCCCTCCAACAGTTTGAGGGACTGTGACCTGGTCCTAGAATCATAGAATCAAAAGAGTTGGAAGAGACCTCATGGGCCACCCAGTCCAACCCCCTGTCAAGAAGCAGGAATATTGCATTCAAATCACCCCTGACAGATGGCCATCCAGCCTCTGTTTAAAAGCTTCCAAAGAAGGAGCCTCCACCACACTCCGGGGCAGAGAGTTTAAAAAGTTCGAGGACCCCTGATATAGACACACAAACCACATATACACAGACTGGGCCACAGCAGTGCATTGCAAGGGATGGCTAGTCTATATAAATAAAAATGTAATGTTCATTTGTGGGATTAACATAACTCAAAAACCACTGGATGAATGAATACCAAATTTGGACACAATACACGAATTAGGCCAACCAGTAACCATCACTCATAAAAACACTGAAAAACACAGCAGAAGAGACTTAAAAAGCCAAAAAATGCAAAAAAAATATTACAATGCATATGCAACACCACATATATATACACAAACACACATATATATACACATATACACACGTAAAGCACATATACACAGACAGCAACGCGTGGCAGGGGACTGGTTTTGTTGTTCATTCGTTCAGTCGTCTCTGACTCTTCGTGACCTCATGGACCAGCCCACGCCAGAGCTCCCTGTCGGCCGTCACCACCCCCAGCTCCTTCAAGGTCAGTCCAGTCCCTTCAAGGATGCCATCCATCCATCTTGCCCTTGGTCGGCCCCTCTTCCTTTTGCCTTCCACTTTCCCCAGCATAATTGTCTTCTCTAGGTTTTGCTGTCTCCTCATGATGTGGCCAAAGTACTTCAACTTTGTCTCTAGTATCCTTCCCTCCAGTGAGCAGCCGGGCTTTATTTCCTGGAGGATGGACTGGTTGGATCTTCTCGCAGTCCAAGGCACTCTCAGAACTTTCCTCCAACCCCACAGCTCAAAAGCATCGATCTTCCTTCGCTCAGCCTTCCCTAAGGTCCAGCTCTCACATCCGTAGGTTACTACAGGGAATACCATGGCTTTGACTAGGCGGATCTTTGTTGCCAGTGGGATGTCTCTGCAGCCCCCCCACCCCCCCGAAATTCTCATGGTGGTTCGCGAAAAGGCCTTACTGGTGCATTATTTAAACTTCTGTTTATCATGGGGTATTGGGGTAATGATACAAAAGGTTTGCTAGGGTAGACCCTCTTTCACTCAGACTCAGCCCCCCCCCGAAACTCAGCCCCCCCCGAAACCCCCCTGAAAAAAACTCAGCCCCCCCCCCCCGAAACGAAATCCTGGCTACGGGCCTGCCATGGCTTTGACTAGGCGGATCTTTGTTGCCAGTGTGATGTCTCTGCTCTTTACTATTTTATCGAGATTGGTTGTTGCTCTCCTCCCAAGAAGTAAGCGTCTTCTGATTTATTTCCTGGCCACAGTCTGCATCTGCAGTAATCTTTGCGCCTAGAAATAGAAAGTCTGTCACGGCCTCCACATTTTCTCCCTCTGTTTCCCAGTTGTCAATCATTCTTGTTGCCATAATCTTGGTACTGGTAGTAAATAAATAAATAAATAAATAAATATAATCCAGTTCAAAGCAGATAATGTGAGATTTTTCTGCCTTGATATTCTGGGACCTAGGGCTGTGTGGAAGGGCCCAGAGTCGTGGCAGCAAGCAAGGAAGAGAAGCAGAGGCATACAAAAAAAATGGGGGGGAGAGGGAAGAAAAGTCAAAGGCTAGGAAGGATTTTGATACAAAAGTTTCCCCTCTCCGTTGCGCGCGCGCCCCCGCCTCCCTCCCTGCACGAGCCCAAGCCAAAGGAAGCCCTGGCACCTAAACAGCCCCCGCCCTTTTGAAGCCTTAGCCACGCCCCCTCCCGCCCTTAGCCACGCCCCCTGGCCTTACCCCGGAGCTCCGGGGCCACGAGGACACTGCGGGACTATTGGAGCAGGTAAGAGCGCGCGCCAAGTTCGGGAGAATTTGCTTTGGAGAGAGGAAAAGTGCTGCAAAAGAAAAAAAAATGAACCCAACTTGGAAGAAAGGCAGCTGGGTGTGGGTTGGGGGAGGCCCTCTTTGTGAGAGCTCTAGACACGTGTACAGCGTGTGGCCAGATATGCCAGCGTGTCCTCTTTGCAAGCTGGTCACTTGCTAGCTGCAGTCAAGAGTTAGAATGAAGGGGAGAGAAAGCGTCTCAGGACGCATCTCTACTGGGAAAGGAAATGTAGTTTGACCCCACTTGGACTGCCAGGGCTCTAATGCTATGCAACTTTGTGGTGTGTAGCTTGGTGAGGTACCTTTGGAAATTGCAACTCGCAGCATTGAGTCATAGCACGTAAAGTGGTGTCAAACTGTATTCATTCTACAACAGGCACAGGCAAAATTGGACTCCCAACTCCCATAATGTTCATTCTACAGCAGGCATGGCTTGCAAAGTTGGGCCCTCCAGATGTTTTGGACTCCAACTCCCACCATTCCTAACAGCCTCAGGCCCCTTCCTTTTCCCCCTCAGCCGCTTAAGCAGCTGAAGGGGAAAAGGAAAGGGCCTGAGGCTGTTAGGAATGGTGGGAGTTGGAGTCCAAAACACCTGGAGGGCCCAACTTTGCAAGCCATGCCTATTCTGGAGCATAACAACTACTTTCAAAGTAGGTACCACACAATTAAACAGGAAATAACACTTTCAAACCAGGCACAAATGTTGTCACATAGTATAATCTGGCATCAAACTGCTACAGTTCTGCAGCATGTCTCTATATATCATTGATTATACGTAGCTTTGATCCTAAATACTTGGCATCAAAAGTATTCCATATTTTCGACTCTCTCCCTCCTTGCTTGATCCAGATTGATCCAAGTGTTTTGGAAAGAGAGATCTTGGAGATAGGACTCGAACTTGAAACACGAACTCCACCTATGGTGTGCACACATAGCCTGAAGGTAATACTACACACAATATTTTGTGCACGAGACAATGTTTGTGGACACTGAATGCACAGAAGGCAAACGTCACTATCCCAGCAACCCATTTGAACAATATGGTATTTTTTGGAGGATTTGGGATCTTGTAATTTTGGAAAAGGGAGGTTCAGCTTTATTCTGGAAAAGGGAGATTCAGCTTTTGTAGGAACTTTTTTAAAAAACGTATCCCTCTTGCAGTGAGTTCTCCCTTTGGCAAGAGACTGAGAGTCTCATGATGCAATGTAATTCTCAACACGGGACTAAGGGTGCATCTACAATTAGTGCAGTTTATTTATTTATTTATTGACTTACAGTGTTTTTATCCCGCTCTTTTCAGCCTGAAGGCAACTCAAGGCGGTGCACAGATTAGCAACAATTAGATGCTATAAAAATACATACAGTTTGACAACTGTGAGGGCTCAATGGTAGGGAATGATGGGAGTTGTAGTTTTAAAAGTCCTTTAGCCTCCTCTGCCAAGGAGTTATGGTGCCTCACCAAACTATAGCTTCCATGATTCCATAGCATTGAGCCACTGCAGTTAAAGTGGTGTCAAACTTCAAGAAAGTGCTGCTAATGTGATGCGGCCAATGGGATTTTGGCCAATGGGATTGGCAAAAGCCAATGGGATTTTGGCCTGCATCAATAGGAGTATAGAGTCTAGATCTAGGGAAGTATTGCTACCCCTCCATTCCACTTTGGTTAGACCACATCTGGAATACTGTGTCCAATTCTGGGCACCACAATTAAAAAGAGATATTGACAAGCTGGAATGTGTCCAGAGGAGTGCAACTAAAATGATTAAGGGTCTGGAGAACAAGCCCTATGAGGAGTGGCTTAAAGAGCTGGCCATGTTTAGCCTGAAGAAGAGAAGGCTGAGAGGAGATATGATAGCCATGTATAAAAAGGTGAGGGGAACTCATCGGGAGGAGGGAGCAAGCTTGTTTACTGCTACCCTGGAGACTAGGATGTGGAACAATGGCTTCAAACTACAAGAAAGGAGATTCCATCTGAACATTAGGAAGAACTTCCTGACTGTGAGAGCTGTTCAGCAATGGAACTCTCTGCCCCGGAGTATGGTAGAGGCACCTTCTTTGGAGGCTTTTAAACAGAGGCTAGATGGCCATCTGTCGGAGGTGCTTTGAATGCAATATTCCTGCTTCTTGGCAGGGGGTTGGGCTGGATGGCTCATGAGGTCTCCTCCAACTCAATGATTCTATTAAGGTTTTCATGGCTGGAATCACTGGGTTGCCGTGAGTTTTCTGGGCAGTATGGCCATGTTCCAGATGCATTCTCTCCTTACATTTTGCCCACATCTATGACAGGCATCCTCAGAGGTTATGAAGTCTGTTGCAGACTATACAAGTGGAATGTCAAGGGTGGGAGAAAGAACTCTTGTCTGCTTGAGACAAGTGTAAATGTTGCAATTGGCCACCATGAATAGCATTTAGTGGACATTCCACAGATATACAGTATAAACCTCACTTGCCAAATTTCCAACAGACCTCACAACCTCTAAGGATGCCTGCCATAGCTGTGGGCAAAACATCAGGAGAGAATGCTTCTTGAACATGGCCATACAGCCTGGAAAACTCACAACAACCCATTCAACAAAGTAGATGCACCCTGTTCTAACCAGTTGTTAGAACAGGTTCTGCGTCCCTTCTCTAAAAATCTGAAATGTTTCTAAATCCTAAATAGTTTACATCAATGTCTGGAATAGAGACTGTTTGGTTTCTGATGGTTCAAAGTATACAAAGTTTGTTTCATGCACAAAATAATTAAAAATACTGGGTGTTCAGTTACCTTCAGGCTATGCATAAACGTACACATGAAACATCAGTTAATTTCATGTTTAGACTTGGATCCCATCTCAAAGTATCTCATTATGTGTGTGCAAATATTTTATTTTTTAAAAAAATTACCAAATTATGGACATTTCTGATTCCAATCATTTTAGATAAGGGCTACACAACCTGAACTGAGTAAACAAAACCCACACAGAATGAATGAAGTATATCAGTGCATCTACACTGTAGAATGAATGCATTTTTAACCACTTGAATCATAGGGAATCATAGTTGTAGTTTTACAAGGTGTTTAGCCATCTTTGCCAAAGAGTGCAGATGCCTCACCAAATATCAACCTCTTTTATTCTATATCATTGACCCATGACAGTTAAAGTCATTCCAAACTCCATTAATTCTACAGTATAGATGCACCCCCAGCGTCTAAAGGCCACCAGACAGCTTTTTCCAGACCAGTGTCTTTCCAGGATGACATCCAGCCCAATAACCCTGGGATGAAACAGCAGTGAAAATTGGGCCAAATCAGTTTTTCCAATGCACACAAGTGCAGCTCTTTATGCAATATGTTTGTTCTCAGAGACACATCTTGGTAGTATGTGTAATTTACACATTGCTCAATGAGCCTCTGAAGTGTAGCCAACATCACCAAATATAATTCTGTTTTGATTGGATCCAGTTTCTTTTTCCAACGGTAGCAGCCTTTCTTTGAGTTGCACAGTTTTGAGGGTGAGATGATGCAATTGCATTGCTAAAGCTTAGCTGGTTAATAGGGCCATGTAGGCCAACAGGTGATTTTTGGGAAAACAAATAGAGGTGCATCTTCACTGTTGAATTAATGCACTTTAAACCACTTTAACTGGCATGGCTCAGTACTATGCAATCCTTGGACTAGTTGCTTGGTGTGACATCAGCACTATGTGGCATAGAAGGCTAAAGTCTTTATAAAACTCCAACTCCCACAATTCCAGTGCATTGAGCCATGGCATTTAAAGTGGCATCAAACTGCATTAATTCTCCTTGCTGAGAGTAGCCTTGCTCAGAGTAGCAGAGATGGACTCCTTATGATTGCTATTCAGAATCCCTAAACTAGTATTACATCTTTTAAGAAATGGAGAAAAAGCAACGGAGAAGTATAAATGGCAAATGATCTGATCAGGAACGAGTACAGTATGTGACCCTATGTGCCCCATAAAACACGCTCAGTGAGGCCAGATAATATTGATAAAACTGTTATTTAGTATGAATGTGTGTTGTTCTACATTTAGGCAGACAGAAATCATGCAACGTCAAGGCTAACTGCAATATTATCTTTCATCCAAGGACCTACAGACCATGGATCGAAAGACCACAAAACATTGCATGTCAGGAAACACATCTCTTCAAACTTTTGGGGTATTTGGCTGTAACGTGGGTATTTACATTAAAGTGATCAGCACATGTAGCCTTCTTCAGGCTATGTTTGCATGAATCTTTAGATGAGGCTATTTAAAAAATGTACAGCTTGGGAAGCAGCTCTTGGGAAAAACTGAATTGATTGTATCAGATTCCTTCCTTGATTTACATCTCTAGTCAGTCACCTTTGCCCAAGAGCAGTTGCCAAGAGACTCAGAACTGGTTTTAACATGGCCTCTGGGCCTTCAGTAATAACCACCTCTGAAGTTAATTAAATATATTTTTTTAAACCTGATTTTTTTCATATCCAAAAGCCAACCAGCTATTAGTCTACAAGGAGAAATCTAGAACAAGCTCCTATATTGAAGCACAGGTACAAAAATGTGATCTGAGTGATTACATACAGATTACTCAGAGTTTTGCTTACTTTAAGAGAAGTATGTCATAATTACTGTTATAATAACAGTAATTTTTATTATTCTTTTCAGATTAATGATTTATTGCTATTACTGGTGATGATGGTGGTGACAATAACAGAAAGAATATGTTGCCACTGAACTGTTGAGAACATTGTTGCTAATTGTCATCCATTGTCAGCTTTGACTGATGGTAAACCTATGAAGGGGGTACTTCAGTTGTTGATAGACCAGATAGTTCACCATTTTGCCTATGGCCATATAACCCTGAACATGCCCAATAGACCTGATAGATTCAGAGCGATGACTTCCTTGAATGAGTCTGTCCACCTGCAATGGGGGATCTCTTTTCCTATTGACTCCCACATTACCAAGCATCATATTTTCTAATGAGTCGTATTGTCTCATGATATGTCTAAATTACAGTACCATCAGTTATGTGTCTGTAGGTATCTTCAAGTTGCCTGTTGACTTATGGTGACCCCTCAAATTTCATAGGGTTTTCTTAGGCAAGGAATACTCGGAGGTGGTTTCACCAGTTCCTTCCTCCGAAATGCAACACCTAGCCTTCATTGCTGATCTCCCATCAAAATAATAATCAGGGCTGACTTTGTTTAACTTCCAAGATCAAGTGGGATTTATTAGCTTTAGGGCATTTAGGCCTTTATATAACTTAGTAAGATTTATGTTCTTCCTTTCCTTTAATAAGCTGAAAGTGGGTTTTCTCTTCACTTTACCCCCACGACATCTCTCTAGAGCAGGTCAGAATTGGGGAATGTGACTGTCCCAAAGTTCACCTGATGAATTTTGTGGTTCATTAGATCCTAGAACCAAGATCTGTCCATCCAATTCTCATCAGATGACAGCCACTATGGTGTAAGTTGCCAGCCACAATGGCTCTCATATCAATTGGTTCAAAACAGCATTCTGTGTGCTTGCGTGTCTGAGAGAGTGTTTGTAGTGTCTTCTGTTTATTAATCAAACTCTTGGACAATACAACATGAAACACTATTTTCACACATAACCTGTAATGAAAGTTTGTGATTGATAAATAAAAACAGGTGACATCACAGCAGGATATTTATTTCCCTTAGTAGAAGGATATAGGTATCCAGACTTAGTTTCCTGAAACCTACTGTATATACTCATGTATAAGTCTAGGAATTTTTAGTCAAAACATGTACCCAAAAAACCTGAACCCACTATTCCATGGAACAGTGTAGATATTGTAACTTAAATCTTATTAAAATATTATTATTATTATTTATTTTATTTTATTATTTATTTTGTATGCTTATATACCGCAATATCTCAGCCTACAACGGCGACTCATTGCGGTTAACAGTACTTAAAAACAACAATAATCAAACAATTTAAAAGCATAAAAAACATATACAGTACACAGTATCGGGCCACCAATACCGACCAATGCATCTCTTAGTTAAAATCATAATCCGAATTCATCGTCAATAATTACCAGTCCTTGTCATCAACTTCATCGCACCGGATTACCCGAATGCTTGTTCAAACATCCATGTCTTAAGTTTTTTTCGAGATACCAACAGCGAGGGAGCTGATCTTATCTCTATAGGGAGGGCATTCCAAAGCCGAGGGGCCACCACAGAGAAGGCCCTGTCTCTCGTTCCCGCCAGCCGCACTTCTGAAGCCGGAGGGACAGAGAGCAGGGACTCTCCAGAAGATCTTAGGGTCCTGGTGGGCTGATAGGCTGAGATACGTTCGGATAGATATGTTGGGCCAGAACCGTTTAGGGCTTTAAAGGCCAATGCCAGCACTTTGAATTGGGTCCGGTAGCTAATCGGCAGCCAGTGGAGCTGGTACAGCAGAGGAGTTGTATGCTCCCTGCGCCCTGCTCCTGTTAGTATCATGGCTGCCGAGCGTTGGACTAGTTGGAGCTTCCGAGCCGCCTTCAAAGGCAACCCCACGTAGAGAGCGTTGCAGTAGTCTAAACGGGATGTAACCAGAGCGTGGACTACCGTGGCCAAGTCAGACTTCCCAAGGTACGGTCGCAGTTGGCGCACGAGTCTTAACTGTGCGAATGCTCCCCTGGTCACCGCCGAAACCTGGGGGTCCAGGCTCAGCAGCTGAATCCAGGATCACACCCAAACTGCGAACCTGTGTCTTCAGGGGGAGTGCGACCCCGTCTAACACAGGCTGTAACCCTGTACCCTGTTCGGCCCTACGACTGACCAGGAGTACCTCTGTCTTGTCTGGATTCAATTTCAATTTGTTCGCCCCCATCCAGACCGTCACAGCGGCCAAGCACCGGTTCAGGACCTCGACAGCCTCCTTAGTAGCAGGTGGAAAGGAGTGACAGAGCTGGACATCATCTGCGTACAGATGACATCTCACTCCGAAACTCCGGATGATCTCGCCCAGTGGCTTCATGTATATGTTGAACAACATGGGAGACAGTATAGAGCCCTGAGGAACCCCACAAGACAAAGGTTGTGGGGTTGAACAGGAGTCTCCCAGTAACACCTTCTGAGACCGACCCTCGAGGAATGACCGGAGCCACTGCAGAACAGTACCTCCAGACCCATCCCCGCGAGGCGTCCCAGAAGGATGCCGTGGTCGACGGTATCGAAGGCCGCTGAGAGGTCGAGCAGCACCAACAGGGACACACTCCCCCTGTCGAGCTCCCGACGCAGATCATCCACTAAGGCGACCAAGGCTGTCTCGGTACCATGCCCCGGCCTAAAGCTAGACTGTGCCGGATCCAGATAATCAGTGTCTACCAAGAATGCCTGGAGTTGTGAGGCCACCACACGTTCCAGGACTTTGCCCAAGAAGGGGAGATTGGAAACAGGCCGATAGTTGACGAATTGAGTGGGTCCAGTGAGTTTCTTCAACAGCGGTTTTATTATAGCTTGTTTTAAGCTCGCTGGAATTTTGCCTTCCCGAAGGGAGGCATTAACCACCACCTTCACCCACTCGGCCAATCCCCCGCTGGCCTCCTTTAGAAGCCAGGATGGGCAGGGGTCTAGGATGCATGTGGTAGCTCTCATTCCTCCAAGCACCTTGTCCACATCCTCGGATTGAACCAATTGAAATGAATCCATCAAAATTGGACAAGCAGATGCTCGTGTTACATCCTCAGAGACTGCCGTTAATATGGTGTCCAGTCCAGAGCGGATCAAAGCGACTTTATCAAAGCTAAAAACCACAGCACCCCCTGACCTGATCTTAAATCTTAGAGCAATTCCTAACCTTTTTTTTTTTTTTACCAGAGATCACTTGACCAGGGACCAGTCTCCAACATTATTACCAAAAGGGTTACAAATCAGTTTTGGTCGACTTTAGATTTGGTTTGGATATTTGGGATGCTGATTCAGAAAATTGCATGGAATAGACCACATCAGCTCTAGTTTCTGATACAGAACATATGCCATCCAGTAATCACTATCTGCTCGACAACAGAAAACCACATTTAACAATCTAGAGCTGATGTGGTCTATCCAATGCAAGTTTCTGAATCAGTACCCCAAATAATCCCAGTTACAGGCCTAAAAACAAAGACTCCAAGAAAAAAAAATTGATTGGACTGTGTTATTATTTGTAGTATAATGGTGAGGCCGTGGACCATATTTTAGTTCTTGCAGACCACAGGTTGGGAACCACTGTCTTAGAGGAACCATTGCATTCTCTGAGTAGAGTGAGAAAAAGTGAGAGCTTAGTCCATCCCAGGAGAACCTTAAACAAGCACAATATTGTCTGCACTATAGGATCAATTTTGGCTTTTTAAAATGCCTGGGTGGGAAAATGATAGTGTTGATGGCTAGGAGGCGGCATACATACTCATGTATAAGTCTAAAAAGTTTAGTCAAAAAATTAATCCAAAAGAATTGAGTCAACTTATTCACAGGCCAGTGGGAATACTGAACCTTAACTCTTATATTAAAAAAAGGAATCGTCCTCTTTTTTTGCATTAAGTGGCAAAAGACCATCCCAGGAGAACTAAAACAAGCGCATAACTCCTCTACTCTCTCCACTGAAATGCCACTTCTGGCCTTTTGGTGGTGATCAAGAGTATTTAGCCATTAAAACAGTATTGGCCCTCCAAAAAATGACCCTTGACTTATTCATGGGCCAATGAAAAGCCATAATTTTATCCCCCAAATCTGCCCTTGCCTTACATATAAGGTTGACTTATACTGTAATTGTTGTACAGGATTTCAAACCTATTGTGGAACTAGCACTTTAGAATGTGTCCAGGAATGTGATAGAATGCCTCAGAATGTGATGCCAGCTGAATGTGATGCAAGCACTTTCTTTTCCAGGGTTTCCAGAGAATTGCTCACAGGGGCTTAATTTAGCATTGAAATGCCACCTCCAGCAGAGAAAGACCTGGCCTATACCCCTCCGGATGGAGGATGGGGCTGGGTGGTGGTGCTTGGCGCATTCGTATCTATTGGATTTTCATACGCATTCCCCAAAAGCATAGCAATCTTCTTCAAAGAAATCCAGGATTTCTTTGGCTCGTCATCAAGTGAGATTGCCTGGGTGTCTTCAATTATGTTGGCTGCTACGTATGGTGGAGGTGAGTAAAATGGAGCTCTACTTGGTACTGATTTAGGAATGGAGGAAACATACTTCCTAATTAACCTGGGTTGCTGGAATTAGTAGAACTTATTTCAGAGAAAATGCATTTAGCATAGAGACATGAAGATATTAATAATCATGATTGTGTTGCTGTTTGTATCATTATATATACACACACACATACTATAAAACAAACACACAGCCAAATATTTTTATTCGTGAAAGCTGCCTTTCGGTAAATAAGTTTGATACAAAATATGTTAAGATCAGTCTTTTATCAACTAAAGGTAATCAATTTCCGAACTGCACATGAGGTCAGACAGCAACAAGGAAAAAACTGAGAAGTATAGCAGCACACTATTCCAATAGGGATAGAAGATTAGATTCATATAAATACAGAGTGAGTTATGGTTTCTGCAATATTCCCACAGTACTCAGTGATATATATGGATATATATCAAGCGTTTTCCATCGGCAATAATATTAGGGTCTTTGAATACTAGGTACAGTGGTGTTTTCAAAAAGATCAGAGTTTTTGTATTGATTTTGCAATTGTTTGGAAATTATAGGCTGTTCCTAAAGAGTGAAATATTATTGTTGCTCTATGGAAATACCAGTACAGTGGTCCCATGGACCAGTGTAGTACTCAATGTGGGTAAATATCACAAAAAAATAGAAATAAAATTGATTAGAATTAACAACTTGCTTGCTCATGGTGTTAAACAAATCAAATCATATCAATATTTCCACTCAAACATATTTGTCATTCACAAAATCTGAATGTAGACCCCTTTTCAACCAATATAGATTTTCCTGAAGTAATCATGACTTGTGCTATCTAGAGGCATTGCTGTTTTGTAAGGTGATATTTTTGGTTGCAGTGATTATAAAAGTCCACCATACATGTGGTATTCTATCTAAAAAAAGAAAACAGATGAGTTCATGTATCTCCAGATATGAATCCTATATCTGCAGGTGTAGATATGTCATCACAAGATTACATCTCAATGCTTCTCGTCCATCTTTTCTCTTCTGTGTTGCATTATATTAAATTAAATGCTGTGTTCTTTTCTATAAAAAGGCCATTATTTCTACCACCACTTTGCTCTTGAAAGGATGCTACGTAGTATCCATCAACAAAGAAATTGCTAAGTTAGTATATATTGGCAGATGTGCTTATTGTTACAGTTCTTTTGGGCACAGGATGCTTAAAAACTACTGCTATTTCATCCAATAACATCGATCGGTTTAAGAGACCTTGGGAAAGTACCCCTGCACTCGGTCATACCAAGACTGTAGAGTTAATGTTTGATTAAAGAGGTTGTCCCGCACTTTGTAGCAGCTTGCACTGAAAGCAGAAATCCAGGATAATACAGTTATATATGCTGGGGGCTATGACACATGTAAAGCATATAAAGCAGGAATGGATTATTTGTATTCCTGCTCAGTGCATGACACAGTGACCCTGAACTGAGGACAGAAATCTGTAGTGGAAAAAAAAAAACCTTCACAATGAAGACTCAGCTGGGCAACCAGTAGTGCAGGTTACAACTGTTTGCAATTTTCTGTATCTCAATCAGAGCTTTCCAAACTGTTTGTTATGACATATGAGTATGTCAACTGCAGCATGTAGGTGTGTCACACAAGCATTATCTGTGTCTATATTAAATTATTAATAAATCATGTATTTTAAAAATATATAAATGCAAGGTTTCCCCCTCCCCTGAGGCTGAAAAAGTGTGACTTACCAAAAGCCACTCATGGAGTTTTAATTGCTGGGCTGGTATTCCAACCAAAATCATAGTCCAATGTTGGCTTTCGCTGACCACATCTTCATTCATATGTCCAGACAGTTTTTAGAAAAGGGACAATGCATTTAGTTAATCATTAATAAGTAAAAAAGCACTAATTAAATTAAAGGCACTAATTAACTGTTACATTTATGTTAATTTTTTATTTAAATTTAAGTTACATTGCCATAATGAAGCTGCAATCTTTCCTCCTTAGTTGCTATGAGTTTTCCGAGCTGTATGGCCAGGTTCCTGAAGCATTCTCTCCTGACATTTTGCCAACATCTGCGGCAGGCATTCTCAGACATTGTGAGGTCTGTTAGAAACTAGGCAAGTGGGGTTTATATATCTGGAATGTTGAGGTTGGGCAAAAGAACTCTTGTCTGCTTGAGGCAAATGTAAATCTTACAGTTGACAACCTTGCTAGCATCGAGTACCTTGCAGCTTCTCCCACCCTGGACATTACAGATATATAAACCCCAGTTTCCTAGTTTCCAACAGACCTCACAACCTCTGAGGATGCCTGCCATAGATGTGGACAAAACGTTAGAAGAGAATGTACCTGGAACATGGCCATAAAGCCCAGAAAACTCACAGCAACCCAATGATTCTGGACATGAAAACCTTCAACAACACATTTCCACCTTAAATTTACTTCCCCGATTCCATTCTCAACTTTGGGGGGAAGGAAGCAGATGAATGAAATGTTAAGTTGATTTCTTGACCACTACAGTAAAAGTCCTGCTGTTGCTTTCCCAATTTAATTTCATTTTCTTACCATCCCCATTGTTTAACTTACTGATACCAGCACAGTTTCAAGGAAAGGTCCAATGGAAACCACCTATTTGTGTTTATTAATGCTCACTGGCTGCTATACTTCATTACATGTGACTTTTACAGCAAAACACTTGTTTCTTATCAACTGGACTTCATAATATTGATGTCATAAAGGTCTGAGTATATCAGTTAACTGCTACTGATATTCTGATTCCCTTCAATGTGTCTTCTGAGCATACTTTAGGAGAGGTTATTAGACAAATTAGTTTTGTTTTAGAAGCAACCTTTGAGTTCTGCATATTCAATTGTGACTGTACATTATCTGCCAATGTGTTCAGAATTGTCTCAGTGGAAATGGATTTCCTAAAAGGCTTATATTTGCAACATGGGAAAGATACATGTCCACCACCTATTGCTCAAAAACATCAAAGGTCTTTTAACTTAAACGTGTACCATATAAATTATTTCTCCTACATACAAGTTTTGGTTTTCAGTTCTGCTTACCTGCACTTTATTATATTTAGTCCAACAACTTATGATCAGTTGTTTTGTTTCAGATCATGTTCTCAGCGATGTAATTTCTTTAGCTTATGTTGTGGAATAGGTGAAATGAATGGCTGGGCACAAATTTAGGTTCAGTAAAGGGAATCAAGCCAAGATGAGCGTGTATAAGGTCACTTTTCAGTGGAGAAAAGTGAAACTAGGTGAAGTTCAGGTTCCAGTAAGGCAAAGACAAAAAGTCCAGCAGAAGTCATATTTCAATGAGAAGTCCAAACAAAGCAAGGCAAGGCAGCACCCTGGATAGCTCTAAGCAAATCAAGGCCAAACAGTCACAACAGCATGCCAAAACTTTATCCACAAGTTGAGCATGCAATCCATAGTAAAGGAAGGTCATCCATTGTGGGTTCAACTTGATAGTACAGCTTCTCCATCCAACTGTTGGTGCAGGTTTAGCCTGTCATATGAGTTCACATTTGTACTTTATATTGGTAAGGAAAATGTTGCACTGGGCGCATAATAATAATAATAATAATAATAATAATAATATAATAAAACTTTATTTATATTCCACTCTGTCTCTCCAAAGGGACTCAGGGAGGACCCAAAGGGACTCAGGTTGGATATTCAAATCTGCTCCTTTTGATGGGCATACAGTGCTTGCTTTTCACCTACCCACCCAATAGAGGATGGGAATTCCTCTATATTTTGTCCTCACATGCATCCATAAATAATTATGGATATGTTCCTCTCTCCTTCAGGAAAAAAAAAAAACCTTTTGTAGTACTTTCCCTGTTTCTGAACATCCTTCAGTATTTCACATGGATTCTGCAGTGAAAAAGACATGCATTCTTGTAGAACAAGCCTACTTTATGTGCAGAAAACAAGTTTCTATCAGCAAATCCCATTTTCTCCCTGGAATAATCCCAGCACCACACTTTGCTAAATCAGATACTAGGAGAAAAATTGCACCGGTCTCTTATTATCTCCAGTAATTGTTCTTCACTGTCAGAGAACTGATCTTTCAACTTGTGAAGGAAATTATGTGAATATTATTTACATCTCTCCTTCCAGATTCTCCCCAAGTTGGAATTTGGTCCTTGCATTGTAAATCCCAGGTTACCATGGAATGAAATAATGGCAATTACAGTATAATCATAATGCTCTCACTGTGTAGTGTCAAAGATCCCTTGATACATCTGCACTACATTATGTAGAGAAAACCTTCACGAGAGTATTATGGTGATAGATTGGTCCTCCAGCCTAAATTCAGGGTTGTACTTAAAGGTTTAATGTATTACTTTTGGTACAATAACCAAATATTGGCCATAAAAACAAAGGCTCCAAGGACAATTATTGGCAATTGAACTTTGGTTCAAATGCTTTGTTTGAGTAAACAGTGAATTCCCGTTTGCTGTCCTTAGTCCCTTGGAACTATGGTGCAATATTGGGCAGTTCCTGTATTTTTTCTGGCTTTCTAATATATGCCTTTTCTCAACATCATGTGATGTGATATATCTTTTATATAATGTTTATACTAGGATGATTTTTTGCTTGTTTGAATGTTTAAATTTTATGTATGTCTTATGTTTAATGATTTTAATTGATTTTAAGTCCATAGTTATATGTAGTAATTAGTTATTATGATTTTTTGTGTGTACTGTATGTTGGCATTGAATTTTTGGCATCAGTATGTTTTAAACCTCCTTGAGTCCCCCCAGGGGTGAGAAAGGCAGTATATAAATACAGTAAATAAATAATAAATAAATATCTTGACTCCAAATAGGGTGACAGAAAGAGATGCCTGCATATCCTGTACAGTTCTGTTTACCTACAGATAAACAAAAAGTGGTCGTAAGAGTCCATAGTAAAGTGCATTATGCTCAAAGTATTGGAAAGAAAAGAACTTTTAAAAAATAGAAACTTTATTGCG